CTATTCCTCCATTTTTGGCACGCCCTTCTTTTCCCTTCGGCACCCTCCTTGCTCCTCTTTTTCTCTAGCTACTCTCATTTATTCAATGGGAACGATAAGCACAGCAAGACTCTAAGTGTATGTGTGCTGCTGGCATCTAGCACTAGTCCTCCTTGCGGTGAACAAGGGTAGCAGACGCCTGGCCGGTGGCCAGCAGGACGATGTCGGAGAGAACACAGCGCTCGTGGCGAGAGGCAGCAAAGACCACGGTTTCAGCGATGTCATCAGCAGCCAGAGGCTCCATTCCACGGTACACATTATCAGCCTTGCCCTTGTCGCCATGGAACCTTACAACCGAGAACTCTGTCTCGACCATGCCCGGATTAATCTCCGTGACCTTGATAGGCACCGAGATTGTCTCTGCACGCAACGACTGCGAGATGGCATGAAGCGCATGCTTCGACGCACAGTAGATGCTGCCAGCTGGGTAACCCGAAAGGCCAGCAATGGAGCCCATCATAATGACATGGCCCGATCCCCTAGCCTTCATGATCCTGACCACAGCACGCGCGACAAACAGCAGGCCCTTGACGTTGGTGTCAATGACTGTGTCGATGGCGTCATCGCTGACATCGCTGACGTGGTCGACGCCCATGGCCAGGCCCGCGTTGTTCACAAGGACGTCGATGCCTGCAAGGTCGCTGGGGATCTCGGAAATAACGCGGTCGACCTCCTCCCTGTGCCGCACATCGAGGGTGGCCGTGTGCACCTTCACGGAGGGCCACTGCTTGTGGATCTCGGCTGCCACTTTGTCAAGACGCTCCTGGCGACGAGCCGTGAGGATAACGTTGGCGCCTGCCTCTGCGAAATGGTACGCACAGCTCTCGCCAATACCCGAGCTGGCCCCGGTGCTATATCAACACACTCGGTAGTGCCTTCGTGGTCAGCTTGCGCATGATAAAGCAATGCAAAGCAGGCAAGTTGAAATTCAGCGCTTACATTAGAACGTTTTTGCCCTTGAGACGATCAAACATGGCTGCTAGAAGGAACGAAGCGGATAGCAAATAGTGCAGTCTATAGAGGAGAAAAAGATAGGAGCTGGAGAGGAAAGCGGCGTCTGGGAAAATAGCTGGAAAAACGTTTATTCGATCTGCCTGCTAAAAGCCTCCTGCGGCAGGCACGTCCCCAATCCGCCAATAATGACAAATAGAGCCCGCATTCTGCTACTTGCACCGCAAGATGGATCGTCCCCCATGAGAAAGAAACAAGACGCTTCGTTGAGAGCATAAGTGATATGAAAAATAGAAAGAGAAAAGACTGAACCTAGTCTGCACCCTTTTCGTCGCGGTCTAGCGTAATGACGGTGACTGAAATATCATCACGGAACCTGCGCGAGTGCGGTGGCGGAATGGCAAGCAGGCGCCGAATGATATCATCGCTGCGACGACCCAAGCGGTCCGTTGACAGAGCAGTGCGGATGAGATGTGTGGCTGCATTATCGTCCTCGGTCGTCAGCGTGCTTGAGGTCTTTTCGCTGCCCTTGCCCTTGTTGTGCGCCTCGTACCACTGCGCAACGGTGTCAATAACCTCTGCATCCGATAGCTGGTCGTAGAGACCGTCGGAGGCCATGACGATGAACTTGTCGTTTTCGCTCAGCTGGTGCTTGACAATCACCGGCCGTGCTGTCACATACGGCGGCGTGCTGTAGTTTGGCGGCGTGGTGGCGTAGCGGTGGCCACGGGCATACAGGACTGGGAACAGGTCCTGCTGAGTCTCGAGCGACCACTTGTATCTGCAATCTCCAAACGCTCTGGTGGGCATCAGTCCGCCGAGCACACGGCCCTTGCGGATAACTGCGGTCTCTCCTGGGTGCTCACGGTTCATACGCGCCAGCTCGTTCTTGTTGCTGGCCGTCTGGTCCTCACTAAGCCTCACAGCCTTCCACGTCCCGTTGTCTAACCGAACGCCCAGCAGCGCTCTGCTATCACCGGTGTTGCCAACCACGACCTCCTCGGCCTTGGCATCGACCACGGCAACAAGCCCGCAGCTGCCAGAGACCGCTGGTCCAAGCAACTGGTCCATACGCATGAGATTCTGCGACTTGCGGAAATCTGCCAGCGCACCGTGCACCAATTCGTAGTCCATGTTGATAAATGTCGCTGTCAGCGCCAACGATGTGTGGTCCCAGTCAAGTCCGGCCTCCTTTGCCAGCTGCTTAACAGTACCCGCCAGCGGAGTGCCATTGTTGGCACCCTGTGGCGTGGTTGACCTTCTAACGAGCTCCAGCGACTCGTTGAGCATAGGACCGATGCGCGCAGCAATCTGCTCTGCGCACATGTACCCGGCATGCCCATCAAAGACGCCAAACATGAAGCGCGAAGGCGCCTGCGCACCAATTCCGTCCTTGGGCACAGCGCCTCTGGGCTGCACTATATCCCAGGCCAAGTAGTCCTCAATCGGGTCATTGGACGAAACCTGGTTTGTATCAACTCGCAGCCTCAGACCCGTGCCCACTTTTGTGTCTCCATCCAGGCACCACGACTTCTCCTTTGCATGCAAAATCGCATCCACCTCCTCCTCCGTCAGCAGACCCAAACGCCGTGCTTGCTCACGCCGCTCTTTGACCGACAATCCATCGAGCTTTTTGCGAGCCTCATCGCGCTTCAGCGCTACAGACTGCAGAGCGGCTTGTGCTTGGGTCTGCGTCGCCGTTGGCACGCCCACTGCCGCATTGCCGCCTGCAGCTGTAGGCGACGACGGCTGCCGGAGGAAGAACGTATAGCTGGCCACCCCCAGCAGCGTCAAAACACCGCCAATAGCAAATGTCAATGAGCGCTTGTTGCCTGTAGGCTTGGCTTTGGCCGAGTCTGCCGCCTTTGGCGAGGACGGCCTGGATACGTCACCGCTTCCTCGACTGCTCGCAGCGCCGCCGTCATTCGGAAGCTGCTGTTTGGAAGAGCCTGTGAAACCGCGCCTTTGCTTAATGTTGGCCGCTGGCATGTTAAAGGATCTGAATGTAGAGTGCAGAGGGGTCCTGGCGGAGAAGCGAAGCTGCGCTGAAGCTCTCTGCTCCAAGACACGACGAACGCGCTGCGAGTACATACAAGGAAAAGAGAGGGAAAGAGGTGTAATTCCCCTGCAGGCTGGCGTTGTTAAGCTATATCAAGAACCTGTCGGCTACCGAAACGAAAAAAGGAGTGTAGAAAAGCGTGCTGGCAGCACCTTCCACGAGGTGGAGCTCCACTAGGCCTGCCTGTGCGGGAAATAGGAGCAGGGGCAGCGGGCAAAAAAAAATATGGCTGCAAGAGCTACTGTGATCAAATCAACGCAAGGCAGGAAAAATAAACCACTCCAAACCGCATGGCTAAAAATCACCTTTCTTCCCTATTTCTTGCTTTCTATTTTTCACTCTACATTTAGCGGCTTTGACGATGCCCATTGACGCAGGGAAACCTAAGCGGGTGCCAGAGGTGGTGGTCTTTGATGGCGGCTCCTCTGCAGCGAACAAGCCCAGCACAACAAAATTCGAATACAAGTCCTTTATGTCATCAAAAATATCCAAAATCAACGCCAAGCCGCCAAAGCCCAAGACACAAAAGGAGCTGAAGGAGGAAGAGGAAGACAAGCGCAACGACCGCGAGTTGAAGGAGCTCCTGGAAGGCAAGGTGATGATTGAGAGATTGCACGAGTCGCAGCTAACCGGACAGGAGCGCCACAAGTACAATACGCAGAAACTCGCCAAGCTGGGTATGAAGGTGAAGACCAAGGAAAAGATGCCCGCAAACATGTACTTTGCCGTCCAGCGCAACCGCGATGAGCGTGCAAAGAAATCCATCCAGGACGCCAAGGACCGCGGCATCCTCAATGCGTCAATGAAGCGTGAGCTGGAGCTACTACATACGGGAAAGACCTCTGATGACAACAGCAAGAGGAAACCTAGAGGCGATCGCGGGCTGAAGATTGGGTCTGGCAGATTCAAGGACGGCGTTTTGCACATATCCAAGAGCCACTCTACTACATACGGGAAAGACCTCTGATGACAACAGCAAGAGGAAACCTAGAGGCGATCGCGGGCTGAAGATTGGGTCTGGCAGATTCAAGGACGGCGTTTTGCACATATCCAAGAGCCACATAGCCCGTGTCAATGGGTCATCATCGGGTGGCGGTAGCAAGGGATCGCGAGTGGGGAAAAAGCACGGCAAGCGGCGCTGATCTATAGCTTAAGGTGTTCAATAGCAAATATATGGCTAATTCCTGGGTAGCGCCTTGGTTTGAGCGCCAACATGTATAACTCCATGCAATACATGGCTATTGGAATTAGAAAAGGTTGGAAAGAGCAAGGCTGGTGTTAGAAATATGAGGCATTTCTGCTATGCAGTATGAAGTGTTCGACTGTTAGATGCTAGAAATTGCCAGCATAGCAGTCGAGTTGGCTGGTGCTGAGTTTGGCTTGTCGTGCGCTGCAGATCTTGACGGTTCAGGTATCAAGGAGTGTTTGTTCTAGGCAATCTTGGCGATTTCTTAATGAATGTGCCTGACTAGAAAGGGGATAAAGAGGCACTCAGTGATACATGGCTGTATCGCTAGGTCCAAATGAGGTCAAACTGAAAAGAAATGGCCGTCTTAAGAATAAAAATATGAATTCATTGAGAATTGTTTTTCAGCAGGTAATGCCGAGAGGGGGCTGTATATGCGTTATGGATGTATATGCTCATCTAGCTTGGAGACTCTGGCGTCTCGGGGAAATGTTGTACATCGATGTAAACTGAGGAACTCATACCAACCTTTGTACACTGCCCTTGAATAGCACTTCTCATATGACAAAGTGGAAAGCCACAGCATACACAAGTTGGTCATATTGATAGATTGTAACATGTGTGTGTACACAGCAACCTGCAGGTCGTAGAAGCACGGATCACAACACAACATATGCCAGAAATTAGCCGCATAGCAGTAGAGCTGACTAGAGTTGATTTTGCTTCCCCGCCAGAAGTGGCTGATTGAATCCAATCCGGTTGCATGCCCGCTTAGCTCAGTTGGCAGAGCGGCACCCTCGTAAGGTGAAGGTCATTAGTTCGATTCTGATAGTGGGCAGCTTGCGATGGTTGGATTCCCTTTTTGCCCAACAGCTCTATTTTTCTGCCCCTGAACCAGTGCTCCGCTGCCACTTTGATTGGGTGGCGTTGTTTACACTGTGGCTTGGCTTGCCTGTTCGCCTGGCTGGCCCTGCATGTATAGCAGTAGCACGCCTTCAGCGTTTGCTCTTGCGTTCGCTTCTTTCTTACCGCCCTTGCATTTTTCAATTAGCCATCCTGCATTTCCTGCCACACTTCATTCCGCCCACTTGTACACCACTTCAACGCCAAATACATGCATTTCACGTTCGTGTGATGAGCAACAGCAGCAGCGGCAACTTTGACAGCCCTTCGAAGAAACCACCAAACACCGATGGCCAGCCATTTTTGTTCTTCCCCGACGACAGCAATGTCGCAGCAGCCTCACGGGGTGCCAGTGAGCCTGGCGATGTAAGTGCTGTTGATCTACCCTCTGTTTGCTATCTATTCTTTACCAAACATGCAGACGCACTAACAGCAGCGCTGTATATTGCCGGTTCTCGTTTCACTCAGCCTCTTCCGTATAGCCAAGCCACCTTGCAACGCCGGCACACAATAATCTCAACCATGAACAGCCGGCAGTGAATGTATCGGACCTCAGAAAGCGGCGTGACGGGCTGGTAGATGCGCTGAGTAAGAGCGAGAATCAAAATGTCTCCTTCGAGGATTTGATGAGTGACCTTGAATTGCTGGAGCCCTTTGAAAAGTTCTCGAAGGACACGCCCAGCCTGTTTTCCGCCGCAGCTCACAAAGCCGCGGTTTTCGAGAAAGATGGCCTGCGCTTCAACGATACCGGCAGGAAACTGCTGACTGGCGAGGCGGCATTCGTGGCGAATTTCAAGAGTTTGTGGAGGGCTATGGATGCGGAGGATAAGAGCCCCTTAGCAGGCACACTGTCAAAATCGGCTTACCGCCTTGTCGACTGCCAGACTGCGTCCGTTGGCGGGAACAATCTAAAGCTGGGCGTTGTTTTCTGCGACAGGAAAGTTCCAGACCCAGATTTTTCCTCGGTGCATCTAATCCTCGAAGCTAAGGCATCGTCGTGCTCAGGTGCACTGCCTTCTGAGTACCTTGGCCAGATAGCAGATTATGCTCTGCACATTTGGATGGATCAGCCAACTCGTGTCTTTGTACCGATCCTGTTTATGCATGGCCGGCTTCTGGATCTGTTCGTATTCACCCGCCATTGCTATTACAGAGCCAAGCTAGGCTCAATTTGCCTCGGCGACTTTGATCCACCTCCAGGCGACGTAGAAGATATCCAGGACATTCTGAAGAAAGTCTGGTTCCTGCTGGCATTGCCACCACGTCAGTTCGGTCACATCAGCGACAAAGCGCTCAAGCCTGGCTGCATCAAGATATTAGCTGCAGGTAACGGATCTTCAGATGGTGCTTCGGTTGAGGCTTTGGTCGAGGCAACACAGCCGAAAGACACGCAGGGGATCAGGCTCACCACCCCTGTTAAACGCCATGTGCGCTTAGTTGGCAGGCTGATACATCTGTACAGATCGGCATACAATGGCAAACAGGTAGTCCTGAAGCTGTCATGGACCCCTACCGATCGTCTTCCCGAAGGCGCTGTCTACGAGATTCTGCACAGCGCCAATGTCCCGCATATCCCCGAGGTGTACGGGAGCGGGGTTATTAAAAAGGACGTCTTCGGATATCGACTCGAATATCTTATTCTCGAAGACTGTGGGGTGCCAATCGCTGAGCATCTGAAGGGCAGGCGCAGAAACGGCGGCCAAACGAATGTGCTGCACGGCAAAACCACGAATTTCATTACCCAAGTCTCCTCTTGTCTGGCGTATGCCTACAATGCTGGTGTGCTGCATCGAGACATCTCCACGGGTAACGTCACCGTCAGGGCTGGTCAGGCGTACGTAATCGACTGGGGCTACGCAAAGATGCTAAAGACGGCGCCCTCTGATGTTATTTCCAGGGCTGCCAGACCATGGGGGTTTGACAAGGAAACGGTCGCAGAGAATGAAGACCCTCATGGCTCACAGACAGGAACATCGCTCTACATGAGCATACAGGTACTAATGGAGACAGATCAACGGGGCGTCTTTGATGACATAGAGTCATTCTTCTATGTCATCCTCCACTCTCTTTCGCTATCAGACAATGCGACGAACGAAACGCCACTGGGATTCAGCTTCGCTGGGAACAGGCACATGGCGATGCTGCGAGTTGGCTGTTTGGCGTGCACCGAATATTACCTCGGAAACTTTGGCGTCCATGTCTGTTCTCCGGCTCTGCAGGCGGCTCTTGATGCCATGTGCAGGTTCCTTTTCTTCTCTGGTGCGACATATATCGGCGGCAACTTGCTGGGTGATTTGACATATGAGCGCGTGCCTGATCGCCAGCTTGCTGAAATCTTTATGGAACCCGGTGCGGTCTGTGCGCTAGTTGGTGGTAGTGGTCCAGGATCACCCAAGCCACACGGGCCAACTCCTGGCTCGCCAAGCCCTGGATGTGATGGAGTTGCCTCGGTGCCCCAAGTCCCTATCGATGTGGCCGAAAAAGCAAAAGAAGTGGAGCCAGTTGCCGTCAAAGTCGACGCAGGTGTGGAATCGAGGGAGGAAGAACTGGTTATTGCTATAGACGATGTAGGAACACCAGTCGCTGTTGTTGTGCCGGAGACATCCTCTGGGCCTAAAACCAAAAGTAGCAGACAAGCAGCTGCTGCCAGAAGGTCAACGAGGCTAGTCGAGCAGCAGAAGAGAGGCCAGAGCACTGCAAGCATTGGTAGTGACCCACCTACCCCTGAAAGCAAAAAGCCCAAGGGTGCAAGTCCAGCGGCTGCTAAAGGGAAGATAAAGAAATCGACAGGAAAGACACCCATGTTCCGAGCACCTAAAAGAGGAAAGGAGAACGAACCCAAGTGACCTAGCCAGCTGCTCTAATCCACTGCTTGTGCTCCTTACTTGAACCCGCCACAGGGGTTATTCTAGTTTCTTGTTTTTCAGTCAATTTTGCTGGAAATGCATCAGCGCAATCGCCATCACCATCACTGCCTTCCAAGTTTCACATGCAAAATATTCAATATCGATATCTATTTTTGCTTCTCACTGCGAAGGCTGGCGGTGCCAACTGACAGCTAGGCCTGCTTCAGTACTTGATGCGCGGGTGGTTGTCGGTGTGCTCCAAGTCGTCAAACAGACTTTCTCTCTTGGCGCGGATTCTGTCGCTAAAGTGGTGGTTGGTGTCGCGGTGCAGCGCCTCGTCGGCACGGACAGCGAGCACAACGTCACGTAGCGTTGCGCTGGCGTCCAGATTCCAATATGCCACGGCAATCTCTGGTGCCTTGACATTTTCAATCCGGCCAGCATCGATCTCGTGGATGAAGTGGGTGTACGACTTGACAGCTTCTTCCTCCAAATACCCAACAACACGGTGGGCAGCGCGTGGGCTGACCATGTAGAGGGCGGAGAACACGGCAAAGAACCCGGTCTGGACAGTGGCAATGAGCGCACGCTCCCACAACACGGGCTTGCCAACCTCCATCCAGGTCATCAGGTGCATGCGCTCGTTCTCTGCCTCGTGGAGCAAGTGGCCAATCCACCCGCCGTCGTGGCGCATGCCCTGCAAGGACTTGATGTGGCGGACAAGCGCGCCGACCATGCCAGGAACGGCAGCAACGACCTCGAGCATCACAGAACGGTGCAGGTACTTGTTGCGGAAGAAGATGTCTGTGGGCTTGCGGGCACTCCTGACTGCCCACAGGGCAATGCGGTCCGCGGTGTTTTCGGGTGCACGGTGCTTGGTTATGCCAATGTCCAAGTGCTCAAGATCAGCTGTTGACCAGAGCTGGTCCATGATTTCGGCACGGATGGGCTGCGGAGTCATTGGAATTCTGAGCTCTCTGGGCATAGTGCTCATAAGATCTTCGACAGGAACAGAGCTTGCCTTTGTGTCTGCTGTTGCATCCGTGGAAGTAGTGGATGCGGTTTGGCTGGCCTTGGCTGCGTTCTCAGCATCCTTTTTGACGATTTTGGCGATGAGTTCTTGCGCACGAAGCGTAGACTTGATGCCGAAGTAGCGTTGTGAGACCAGCAGTGGCCGACGTCTTGCGAGGGGTGGTACCCACGGGGATGCTAGGCGGCTGAATGTGCGAGCGAGTGGTGGTGGTGCAGGCATTGGCAGCTGTTGGAGGTCTGGTGGGTGTAAGGGGTTTCACAAAGCACAAGGCATCTGGCAATGGGCCAAGAGCGAAAATGCAATGTGCATTTTGTGTTGAATTTATACCTGTGCCCTTTCTAGCAGCCTGGCGGCCATAGTGGCACCACATACCCGACTAAAGGATATATACTTGTATATTCGCAGTGGCCGTTTGGGCAATGCCGGAGAGGGGAGTTTGGGCGAATAGGAGCAGCAGCAGGCCAGGCGCGGTGAAAGCACACGCAACATACACACACAGAGAGGGGAAAAAATCTGCTGTCACTGCTTTATCTCCGCAATCTGGATAGGCTGAGGGTGGCAAGGTGGATTCTTGCTGGTTTCCCTGGTATCAGCTACGGGAGTTTTCGGGAGCGGGTATCTAAATGGCTGCTGACATTTGCGTCCAGTGACAACAGCGAGTATTCAATTGAACATGCAGCTATATCGTGTTTTTTTTTCTTTGCGTCAATAGAGAGCATCCCAGGTTTGTTAGCATGTGGAGCAAAGCGATGAAAGGAAAATGTTTTTGGCTCGGCAAACGTTTTTATGTGGATCCGGGCAATTATCAGCGAGTCATTTGGCATGTATCCATTTGGAGTCTAGCGACAACACTGCACCATGCAAAGGCACGCTGGGCTGCACAATCTCGTCGCTGGTGCTTCTGCATGCCTCGCTTGCTGTCAACTCATGTGCAAATTCCAGGTAAAGCCGCCCTATCTGTCGAAGATAATCCCTATCAGAGTCAGGGCTGGTTTTTGATAAGGCCTGTTTTTATGAATGAGTACTGAAAGGCAGTCACATCGCCTGGTGCCTGCT